GGAGATCCCCATGGATAGCCTCACCCTCCCTGGGGGACAGAGGGGGCATGGCGTGGGGGTTTGGGTGGGTTGGTGGGTATGGGGGAGGTGGGGAGGGAGAGGGAGCTGGGATTGACATGTGAAGAAAATTGTTTCTAATTTAAATAAAAAAAGGGAAGGAAAAGAAAAGTGGCCTATAGTGCTAAACAGAATTTTTACAGAAGAATCTAAAATAGCCAAAAAGACACATAAGGAAGTGCTCACCATCCTTAATCATCAGTGGAATGCAAACCAAAATGACTTGAGATAACATGTTAACGCTTGTCGGAATTGCTAAGATCAAAAATACTGAGGACTGCTTATGTCAGAGAGGATGTGGAATCAGTGGAACACCCTGTCACTGCTGGTGGGAGTGCATGCTTGTGCAGCTACTTTGGAAATAAGTATGTTGTTTTCTAAGAAAATTGGTAATCCATCCACCTCAAGACCCAGTGATAGCACTCTTGGGCACATACTCAAAGGATGCTCAATCATACCACAAGGACACTTGCTCCACAATGTTTAGAGCCATATCTTTTCTAATAGCCATAACCTGTTAACAACCAAGATGCACCTCAGCCAAAGACTGGGTAAGGAAAGTGTGGTATATTTATGCAATGGAGTACTATTCAGCTCTGAAAAATGATGACCTCATAAAATTTGCAGGTAACAGGGCAGATTTATAAAACTCATCCTGAGAAACATGACATGTATTCATTCATAAGTGGATATTAGTATTAGATATTATGTAAAGAAAAGGAAAAGCAGACTACGATCCACAGAGCCAGGGAAGCTTGGTAACAAGAAGGATCCTAAAAGGGACAAATGTATTGCACTGGGAAGGGAAGTTTGATGAGATCAGTGGTTAAACTGATGTGTGGTAAGGAAAACAGGAGGGAAGATGAGAACATGGGAGGGTGGGTTGTTAGAAGGGGGATGGATGTACTGGAAGAGCAATGATAGATACATCTTAGCAGAGACAGATATTATGGGCTTAGAGAGAAACCTGGTGCTGGCCTAATTCTCAAGAGTCCACAAAGGATGATCCCAGATAAGACTCCTAGCAATAGGAAAGAGGATATGTGAACTGGCATACCCCTGTAAGCAGATTGGTGAATACCCCAACTATCATCGTAGAGTCTTTGGACAGTAATTGATGGAACCAGACACGAGACTGACAACCAAGCAGCAGGCCAAGCTCTGGGAATCCAGTTCAAGTGAGGGAGGACGGACTATATGAGCAAGGGAGGATCATGATGGAGAAATCTACAGAGACAGCTGAACCATCCCCGTGGAAACTCAAAAACTCTAAAACAGCTAGGAAGACTCCAGGGGACGCAACTAGACCCTCCTTATGCCAAAGATAGTTGTGAAGCTTGAAATATCAGAGGGACCCCTGGCAGTATGACCACAATAAAAATGTGGTATATGACATAGGTTATTGAAGCCCATTCCTTATGGTTCAATGCCATGCTCGGCCTTAATGTATGGGGGAAGCACTTGACCCTGTATCAACCTATTGTGCAGAATTTGTTGAGTCTTTAAGGGAACCCTTATCCTTGAGGATGAGTGGACTCGGGGTGGGCTGGGAAGGAGGGGGCAGGGTTTGGAAGAGGGGTGAGAGAATGAGTTGGGGGAGAACTGTGTTTAGAATATAAAATTACATCTAAACATGAATTAAAACAAAAAGGAAACACTGTCTTTATTTCACAATTACATCATATACAATCTATTCCCATGTAACAACTTGCACACATGCTCAAAGATGTACACCTGAATAAATGAATATTCTACAATTTCAAATATTTTAAAATATCCAATCTTAAATACCCCAAACTATGAGAATAGTCAAATAGCGATTGACTGAATTTGTGCAATTAAATAGACCAGAAATTAAAAGTTTACTAGCACCCAAATGGGAATATTTCCTGGTAAAGAAAAAGTCTTCACAGTCTTTACAGTGACCACAGGATACTCCTCAATGTACTAGACCATCAACTTTATGAATAACACAATCTCTGGTAGTAGAGCTAATACTCTACAAGTTCAATTGTTTAGTAAAATTTTTCATTGCATACCAATATTCACAAAAGCTGAGGGCTTGGAGAGGCTGTACCCATCAGAGAGCCAGTTAGTCAGCACATTATATCCCATCACAAGGGTAATGTTTGTCCTCCACAAAGAAGGAAAGGTGGGTATGTGCCAAAGTATACCAGACCTATAGAGAGGATGGTAAGTGAAAATCTCCTCCACTCCTCCACTGCTAGTGGAGTGTCAACTCATACAGCCACTTTGGAAATCAGTATGGAGATTCCTCAGGAAAATGGGAATAAACCTGCCACAAGACCCAGCAATTCCACTCTTAGGCAAATATCCAAAAGATGCAAATTCATACAACAAGGCTTCTGCTCCACTATGCACATAGCAGCATTATTTGTAATAGCCAGAACCTGGAAGCAACCTAGATGCCTCTCAACTGAAGAGTGGATAGAGAAAATGTAGTACATTTACACAATGGAGTATTACTCAGCAGATAAAAACAATGGAATCCTGAGATTTGCAGGCAAATGGATGACTCTAGAAGAAACCATCCTGAGTGAGGTAACCCAGTCACAAAAAGATAAACATGGTATGTACTCACTCAAATGGATTTTAGACATGGATCATGATAGTGCCAGTCTGCACTTCCACTTACAGAGAGTCTGGGAAACAGGAAAGAACCTAAGAGATATGCGTAGTACCCCATAGAAGAGGAATGAAGCAGGATCTTCTGAACAGATTGGGAACACGGTGAGGGGTGGGGGGGAGTGGGAGCTGGGAAGAAGAGAGGGGGAGAAGAGGAAGAGAGAGTAGGTCATGGGGGAACAGGAAGGTTGAGTGGGGGGTAGGATAGGGGGAAGAGGGAATCATAGGTTAGAAGACAGATATGGCACCACTGAGACCTCTAGTGATCTAAAGGGATGACACCAACTGGCAAGCTAAGCAATAGTGGAGAGACCGCCTTAAATGCCCATTCCTGATAATGAACTTGATGTCTATAACCATCCTAGAACCTCCATCCAGTGACTGAGTCACAACCCCTGAGTGTGAGAGTCAGTGAGGAGGCCTGGGCAACCTATAGGGCCCTGGGCAGTGGATCAGTGTTTATCCCTGGCATACAAACAGACATTGTGTGCCCATAACACAAAGAGGGATGCTCTCTCAGCCTGGAGTCTTAGGGGAGTGCCTGGACCCTACCCTGAGTGAAATGACAGACTCTAGATATCCCCTATGTGGAAGGAAGTGGCGATATGGTGGGAGGCTGGGGGGAATGGTGGGCAGGGTGCGGGAGGAGGGGAGGGAGAGGGAACTGGGTTTGACATGTAAAACAAGCTATTTAAAATAAAAAATAAAAGAAAATCTCCTATTTGTAAGTTATTATATTGTTCTCATTGGAGTTACTCAAATTCAAATCTTATGCCTGGAAGGTAGAATTTAGGGATTGGAGGAAGAGAAGGAGAAAGGCAAGGTAGTTTCTAAGTAGAATATTGACCACTTTCTGGAAATACATGGTAGTGGTGGGTAGCCAAAAAAGGAAGTATATTAAAACCAGTGAAAAATGGCTCCACATTCATAACAGTGGTTAAGGTAATGGGTGCCTTGCCGTTGTACTTTACAACAAGCTTTTCAAACGCTCCCATGCCCAAGAGCTCTCTCAAATCACCTTTTCCTATTAGGCTTGAAATCTTGCCCTAAGTTTGAGAATCTCCCACAGATGCCTCAAATACCTGAGGCTCAATCAGCTTTACCCTCATGCTGCATGCTACAACCCCAATGGAGGCTCTTGGAACTACAGAGTTCCCTCATGCTGTCTTTAGAGTCACACAAGACTTGTCATTGATTCCATCACACTGAAATCAAGCTCTAGCTCATTATCCTTCAAGCCACGGACCTCAGTGGTCCTGCCACGACCTCAGTGGTCCTGCCACCACTGCCTCAATGCTCATTGAGCGCAACACCTGGCTCACTCCACCTGTTATCACTACCTTGGGGCCAAGAGAAAGAAAGGTTGAGGATGAAATGAAATTCCTATCAGTGAACATGAAGCTAGGATTTCCAAGACCTTCTGAACTACAAAAATTAAAGCCAACCAGCCAAGCCATCACAGGAATCGTGTTTCGTACTTAACTCACTTTCTGCCTGTGCAGTTGCATTGCTTTCATTCCTCTGCTAGGTTTCCTTCATGGCACAATCAGAACCTGTTTAGCTACTAAGTCTGAGAAACAGACCTTTGAGTTTCATGGTCTCTTCTCCCACCCTCAATTCAACAGTATCCACAGCTTCCAGATCTCTATGCCTTCAGTTAGTTTCTTTTCCAGTCATGGTCTCACGGAACCCAGACAGATCTCAGACTCACCATGCAGGATCTGAGGATAGCCCTAGACTTCTGGTCTCACAGTGTCCACCTCCCAAGTGCTAGGATTGCAGTATTGCCAGCTTGATGCAATGTTGACGAAGGAAGCCCAGACTTCACGCCTTCAAGGCAAGCACCTACAAAGCTTCATTCTCAGCCATCAATAGTTTAGAAAATATAATCACCTCTGTCTCCTGTCAGATGACTTCTTTTCTTTCCCTCAGAGTTCAAAAACTTAGAAGTTTAACATTTTCCTGAAAGTAATTCGATTTTGTGTTCCGTCTCTTTAAACCTGTTCGTCAGACCTACATTATCATTTTTAATATCCTGAATATTTTCTACCAACCCTTTCTTACTCTCCTGCAATGGATTTTGCATTTCCTGAATCCTTTGTATTAAGATTTCAAAACTATCCTGCGATGACTGTATGTTATTGTGCAATTAACTCTAAGTATTTACATAAACCATGAGACAGATCAAAGTCAATACTGAATGAGGGTCAAAGAAGCTTATTATGAAAACCTTCAGTAAAAGACTGAGTGGAGAAAACAAAGTAAAGAAATTTCACAAGAGGAAATGAGTTCCTTACTCAGTCTGGAAAGTATCCTGTTGGCTGGTACTCACCAAAGACCACCTTGGAAACTCGGAATAAGAAACCATACTAGCCTTTTGATTGGTGGTAGAATCTCTCTCCTTGCATTGGCTGCAGGCTTTGTAAAAAGTTTTCACCTGAGCTATAAGGTTCCAGTTGTAAATCATCACCCTCAGGTGGCCATCTGTAAATGTCCATGATGCTATTAATATGATTACTATTATTATAATATCACGCAGTGTTGTTAGTATAATACTAGAACTTCTCTGGACAACCTTCTGCTCCTCATGAGTGAGACTATTTATAGCCTCCATTCCGAATATAATCTGAATATCTGACTTGCTTTTTTGCTATTCTCCCAGGCAATGCACTTTATGGTTCTGAATTTTTACAGCAAGATCTTAAAACTGCCTGTGGGGAAATGCATGATGTTTCTGAAATGACTGGTTACATTTACAAACGACAGAATCTATCACTGTAGGGTTCTGTCTGCACCCCAAATTCCTCTTGCAGCTCTAGCATCAGATAAAAGCTGATGGTATGAGTAATATACTTTATCATTAAGGCAACACACCACCTAACTGGCCTGTGTGAGAGGTACCATTACTATCCCTGTTTTCCCAAGTATTTGAAGGCATCAGAGAGGAGGCTAGAGTTGAGAAGACTGCTCCTTGGTCAGCACGTATTTTAACTGTTTACCTACATTGTCTTACAGCAGGGGTTTTCAAGCTTCCTAATGTTGAGGCCCTTTAATATTGGTCCTCAGGGTGTAGTGACTGCCCAAGCATAAAAGTATTTTTGTTGCTGTTTCATAAATGTATTTTTTACAGTTATTAATTACAATGTAATTATCTTTCTTTTCCAAGCTCTTAGGTCATTTGGCTCTCAAGGGGGTCAGGACCAATAGGTTAAGAATCCTTGCCCAATGGCAAGGAACCCCTACTTTCCCAAGATACCAAGTTCTAAAAGGACACAAAACTTCAGGAAGCCTATCCACAAATGAAGGCAGTCTGGCTACCTGAGATCTATCTCTGGAACCCTGTTGGTGGAAGGAGAGACGAGACTCTCATAGCTTGTACTGACCTTCACATGTGCAATGTAGCAGATACATGACCCCACCACCAAATAAATCTGCAGTAGGCTGGACATGGTGGCACACACCTTTAGTCTCAGTAGAGAGGCAGAGGCCCGCAGATCTGTCTGAGTCTCAGACAACCTTGGTGTACATATGAAGTTTAGGCCAGCTAGGGCTACAAGGTGAGGCCCTGCCTCAAAATAACTGTAGAAAAAATTAAACTTCTAAGTTTTTGAACTCTGAGTTGGGTGAAAGAAAAGAGGTCATCGTAAAGGAGTCCTGGCTGATTATATATTCTAAACTATTGATGGCTGAGAAAGAAGCTTTGTAGGTGCTTGCCTTGAAGGCGTGAAGTCTGGGCTTCCTTCGTCAACATTGCATCAAGCTGGCAATACTGCAATCCTAGCACTTGGGAAGTGGACACTGTGAGACCAGAAGTCTAGGGCTATCCTGAGATCCTGCATGGTGAGTCTGAGGCCTGTCTGGGTTCCGTGAGACCATGACTGGAAAAGAAACTATCTGAAGGCATAGAGATCTGGAAGCTGTGGATATTGTTGAATTGAGGGTGGAAGAGGGGACCATGAAACTCAAGGGTCTGTTTCTCAGACTTAGCAGCTAAGCAGGTTCTGATTGTGCCATGAAGGAAACCTAGCAGAGGAATGAAAGCAATGCAACTGCACAGGCAGAAAGTGAGTTAAGTACAAAACACGATTCCTGTGATGGCTTGGCTGGTTGGCTTTAATTTTTGTAGTTCAGAAGGTCTTGGAAATCCTAGCTTCATGTTCACTGATAGGAATTTCATTTCATCCTCAACCTTTCTTTCTCTTGGCCCCAAGGTAGTGATAATAAGTGGAGTGAGCCAGGTGTTGCGCTCAATGAGCATTGAGGCAGTGGTGGCAGGACCACTGAGGTCGTGGCATGATCCCTGAGGTCCGTGGCTTGAAGGATAATGAGCTAGAGCTTGATTTCAGTGTGATGGAATCAATGACAACTCTTATGTGACTCTAAAGACAGCATGAGGGGACTCTATAGTTCCAAGAGCCTCCATTGGGGTTGTAGCATGCAGCGTGAGGGTAAAGCTGATTGAACCTCAGGTATTTGAGGCATCTGTGGGAGATTCTCAAACTTAGGGCAAGATTTCAAGCCTAATAGGAAAAGGTGATTTGAGAGAGCTCTTGGGCATGGGAGCGTTTGAAAAGCTTGTTGTAAAGTACAACGGCAAGGCACCCATTACCTTAACCACTGTTATGAATGTGGAGCCATTTTTCACTGGTTTTAATATATTTCCTTTTTTGGCTACCCATCAGTACCATCTGTATCCAGAAAGTGGTCAATATTCTAGTCAGAAACTACCTTGCTTTTCTCCTTCTCTACCTTCAATCCCTACTTTCCAGACATAAGAATTTAATTTGAGTAACTCCAATGAGTGCAATATAATAACTTATACATAGGAGATTTTCAATTACCATCCCCTTCATAGGTCTGGTCATGCACCTCCTTTCCTTTCTTGTGGAGGACAACATTACCCATGTGTTGGGACATTATGTGATAATTAACTGGCTCTCTGGTGGGTATTTAACAACTCCAAGCTCTTTGCTATTGTGAATGTTGGTATGCAATGGAAAGTTTTACTAAACAATTGAGCTTGTACAATATTAACGTTACTGCAAGTGATTGTAATATTCGCAAAGATGATGATCTAGCACACTTATGAGTCTCCTGTGGTCTCTGTCAAGGGTATGAAGACCTTTTCTTTAGCAGAAAAGATTCCTCTTTAGGTCCCAGTAAACTTTTAATTTCTGGTCTATTTAATTACACAAATTCAGTCAACCAATCATTTACAGGCAATATATCTAATATATTGTTACCCTGGATGTGATGAAAGTACCAAATGAGGGCCTGAGCTTCAGGCCCATGGGTGTATGCCATGATTAGGCCTCCCACATGGTGAGTTCTTTTTGTCTGTGAATTAAAGAAATTAAGGTAAGAGTCCCAGGGGAAGTGAAAGTAAATTTATTTTCATTTTAGCTTTTTATATACTTAGAAGGGACCCTATATATGAAGACTGTTGACTATAGAGGGGTATGAGTTTTACTACGGTTTGAGTACCACTGCTATCTGGAGATCTCCCTTTTCTTATATTGGCCCTAAAATATTCATATACCCCTTTTAGCACAGGGATTTCAGTCAGTCATGAGTCAGTTAACTCTTCCCACACATGGTCACAAGCATGAAAAGACTTTCATGCAATAGTTGTCTTTATCTAGAGGTATAGGTATAGAAAGAACTGATTGGTTTGGTGGTGTTAGGGTGGGGCCTAAAACTCTTTGTAATGTAATGGAAAGAAAAATCCATATCATCTGAAGGGAAATGTAACCTTGATATAGGGGAAGAGCTGATAAACAAAGACTATACAAAGAGATTATGAAAACTATATTTACATGCATATGGACACATGAGAAGTACATTTATGTTCCTAATGAGGAATACTACATAATTACAGAAATGCAGCACATTGCATTGCAAGGAGTATTTGATCCTCAGTTAGAGCCCTTACTGCAGTCATACTGGGTAGTAAAGGAGAAGAAAAAACATGTTCTTAAAACAAAGCAATGTCGGACTAGGCATCAGGAGACTTATGCCAGAACAGATTTCAGTATGCTTTCTTCTTCTCTCTCACATCACCTAACAACATCACAGAGGCTCCCAAAACAAATCGTCTTGAGCAGTTTGCTCACAACACCACCCACCCTCTGTTCCCCAGGGAGGGTGAGGCCCTCTATGGGCATCTGCAAAGCCTGTCATATCACCTAGGGAAGGGCCAAGGCCATCCCATATGTGTCCAGGCTGAGAGAGCATCCCTCCATGTGTAATGGGCTCCAAAAGTCCATTTGTATGCCAGGGATAAATACTGATCTAGTACCAGAGGACCCATAGATTGCCCGAGGCCTCCTCACTGACACCAATGCACAGGGGGTCTGGATCAGCCCCATGCTGGCCTCTCAGCCCTTAATCTGGGGTCCATGAACTCCCCCTTGTTCAGGTTAGCTGTCTCTGTGGTTTTACCTGCCAGGTCTTGACCCCTTTGCTCATCACTATTCCCTCTCAGCCACTGGGTTCCAGGAGTTCAGTTCAGTGTTTGGCTGTGGGTGTCTGTCTCTGCTTCCATCATCCACTGGATGAAAGCTTTAGCATAGCATATAAGGTAGTCCTCAGTCTCATTATCCAGGAAGGGCATTTAAGGTAGACTCTCCACTATTGCTTAGATTGCCAGTTGGTATCATACTTGTAGATCTCTGGAAATCTCCCTGGTGCCAGATCTCTCCTCAAATGTATAATGACTCCCTCTATTATGGTATCTCTCATCCTGCTCACCTCTATTCTTCCCCCGACTCAATCTTCCTGCTCCCTCTTGTTCCCCTCTCCCTTCCTCTTCTCCCCTCTCTTTCTCAGAGCTTCCTTTCCCCTCCTTCAATGCTCCCAATCTGCTGAGGAGATCCTGTCCCATTCCCCTTCTCCAGGGTACCATGCACATCTCTCTTAGGGTCCTCCCTGTTTCCCAGACTCTCTGGCAGTGGGATTGTAGGCTGGCAGTCCTCTGCTCCATGTGTAAAATCCATATATGAGTGAGTATATAACATGTTTGTCTTTTTGTGATTGGGTTACTTCACTCAGGGTTGTTTCTTCCAGTTCCATCCATTTGCCTGTGAATTTTAAGATTTCATTTTTTTCTCCATTGCATGAATGTACCACATTTTCTCTATCTACTCATCAGTTGAGGGACATCTAGGTTGCTTCCAGGTTCAGGCTATTACAAATAATTCTGTTATGAACATAGATGAACAGATGTCCCTATTGTATAAATGTGCATCATTTGGGTATATGCCTAAGAGTGGAATTGCTGGATCTTGTGGTAGACTGATTTCCATTTTCCTGAGGAATCACCATACTGATTTCCAAAGTGATTGTAGA